GTGAAAATAGTGTTTAGAGCGGAAGTGATGACAAAACCTTTACTGCAGCAATGTGGACAATGCAGCTGTAATAATGGCAAGTGTGCCCTTATCACAGCAAGAAAAATATAAGGAGTTCTGAATTTGCACTGAATGAGCCATTACTTATGTCTATCACAAAGAAATAAGAGTACTGAACCAAAAAAAGAGATACATTAAGGGGGTTTTTTTTCCCCAAAAGAAAACTAAAAATAAAAAAGATCAGATGTGACTCAGGCTTTCAAACAATAAAAATAGCAAGATGAAAGAACTAGGTTGCTTCATTGCCTAAAGAAATGGCTAGAATCTTAAAAAGTCTGCAACCTGATTGTGAGAGACTCACTTTATGGGCTGCTAAGAAGGTGCTGACCTTCGTCATCAATAGATTGTCTGAGCCTTTGTGGTATTCAGCAGTAAAGGAAGTACTTAAAAAGTCATCCTGCTACTGAAAGATGGACTGGAAAAATCTCCAGTTCAGATCTCAGCATAGCTGCTGTCAGTGCCACATACTCATTCAGAAATTCTGTCTGTAACTCTAATACAGATAAATCTTGCTTCATTTTTAAGTGATAAAACTGGAGCATCCTCACCTTAGAGATGGATCAGGATATCTGAAATTCAATATAAGTGAAATTATTATAGAGGAGAGCAGCTAATGACCTCTCTGTTGTGGGGCTTTGGATGTGTTTTGTTATAGTACTATATTTCTCTGTCTGCACTAGAGGACACTGAAGAAGTGGGATAACACTTGTACAAGTACCAGTGGTATCATTTTCTTATACGTGCTCCACAGTTTTGGATGCAGCTTTGCCTGCTCCGACATTTGCACTGAAATGAACTGTAGCAGATGACTGTCCTGTGATTTCAAATAGCCTTCTGGGAGAAAAAGGCTATTATAGATGAAAAAGTTTTGTTCCTATAACTCTCTGGGAAAGTCCCATCACTATCTAAGCTGTATATTAATCCAGCATTTGTCATTATATGCATCTTCTAGCAGGGTGAGTTGCCTGGGTGGGGTACCAGGCTAACAGAACTGTGTGTTTGCCAGTACCCAAGTAAGTCACTCACTGAAAGGTAGATGGAGTACCTGAGCACAAAAATACATGTGTGTTGGAAATATAGTCATACTTTGGCTGAAAAACACCATGATGTCACCTTCTAGAAACTGTGCAGCATTGAACACTCATGGCAGAAAGCAAAAAATACGGATGGACCACTAATGGCTAGAGCTCCTGGGACAGCAGATGAGGTACAGCCAGACCATCCTGAATGAGGCAGCTTGTACCTTATGCTGCAGAGGAAATGAAAATAAACCAAAACTAAATCTCTGCCAGTTCTGATGGGGGTGGGAGGAGGGAGATTTTTTGACACCTAATTTGTCTCTGAATTTCAGCAACGTGTGTATGGGGCGTGTTCAGTATCAGAGCATGGGGCCACTTGGACTGCTGTCAAATGGTCAGTGTAAGGAACCTGCTTCAGAGTAAGAAAGGTGTCTGTCAAGTCTCTCTTCTGCTTCCTGGCTGCCTTACCATCCCCCTAGACCTCCAAGCCTTGCAAGGGTATGATCCAGCAGGCCAACACTGGGGAGTCGCTCCTTGAATTTACTTCTTCCACCATAGTCTCTGCCATAAAAGGCAACTGTGAACCTCAGAAACAGTAACTAGTAGTGTCTACTGAAACATTCTGCCGAAATCAGGAAACAGACCTTTTTCTGAAGCACAGCTCCACAGAATTCATCTGCCAAAGAGCTGATAACAGCAATTTAATGGTCTCTGTTTAAAGACAACTTAATCTCCTCTGAGAATTACTAGAAGAAATTCCTCTCTCCTGTCACTCCAGTTGAATCAATGCTGAATGTAGTTCAGCGATTCTGCCTTGCTAGATGTAGATTCAAGAAGATAGTCTTGCAGTCTTTGGTGTTTCGAAAGGTTTTACTTCACAACTGTAAGGACAAAAGCTTTTTGGTTGAAATCAAAGTTCAGATTCTGAACAAAAAAGGGCTCATCAAAGAACTGGCAAAGAATTTAACAACTAGGTGCCAGCTAAAGTGCCAGTGTGATTTATCAGAAGGTTCTTCTCTAATCTAATGTGAGATGATAGGAGAAAGTGTTGAAAGGAGAGTCAAACAAGATACAGAACAAACAGCATAAGTAATAGGGTTTATAAGATCATGCACATAAGGAAGTATACATTATGATTCTATGATTATGTAGTAGGGAGGCAACTTTCCCCAAGATTTTCTTAGATATGTTGGGATATCAACAGATGAAACCAGATGATTTTAAAAGATAAATGATCTTATGATCCTTTTGCACTTTTTTTTTTTTTCATATAAGCCTCTCCATTTGAAAAGATGTGGTTTCTTACCAGTAAACCCAACAAAATACTTCAGTGTAGTTGCTGGCAGTGCCATGGTCAGACATCTCTTTGCAAAGATTAACCCTCAGATATGCAGAAAGCTGAACTTGCTTATGACTGATCAGGAAGATCACTTCTAAGAACTCACAAATTCAGAGTAGTTTCCTTCTGACTATCGCACAAAATTGTCTATCTGTATTCCCCTGCTTAGTGATTCATTAGAGGCATTTTACAGTAAACGCTGCCAAAATAAAAAACAGACATTTTAAGCAAATTCTCAGGAAAATACTTAACTGACAAAGATAATGATTTTCTAAAAGCTTCTCTCTGAAAGTGTTTTTTTATTGAGGCAGTGATTAAAGTAAACCTGTCTGAGTTATAATGTGCTTCCATTGCACAACCCAAAATCACGTTAATCAGTCTGAATACCTAAAAATACAATAGGAACAGTATAAATCCACTTGATACAGCAAAGTTCAATTCAGGTACTCGTCCACCAGAAAAAAGTCCATAAATGATTAAAGAATTATTGGTCTGTATTTCACAGTTGTTCCTCTGCTCTTTTTTTTATACTGTGTTGAATTATTTTGAAATTCTTAAGACAGCCTCATGGCAAACCATTTGGCCCAGCCAATTTCCTATTCTCACTGATACTAACCCCTCGTCAGATACAGAGCTTTGCATTTGCAAACCTTCTGATGGGGAGAATAGTCCACTGATTTTCCTCGAGGGCTTCTTGGTACTTGTCCTGGTTTGAGAAAAGTAAAAATCATTGAGCAGAACTGGTTCCGTTTAGCTCAAACCAGGACAGTACTATGTGGTTGGTCAAAGGCAAATTCCTGCAAATTTTTTTGTGATGTAGGCACTTAAGTCCCATTTTCTAGAGTTCTACAGGGCCTTCAGCCCACCCAAGAGGCTGTGGAAGTCCTGTGTCGCGCCCCTAGAACATGGTACAGCCATATACTGTGGAGCCACGTGGAAGTCCATCAGTGGTCCCATATGTGACAGTTCTCCTGGTATGACATGGCACTGAGATCACCAGGCGCATCCCCTCAGCTGGCGCTGGGGCTGGCTGGAGTATCTCTGCTCCGCTGCACAGTGAAGATAAATCATAATTTCCTAAATTACCTAGTGCTGAAGCCAGAGATGAAAAACACAGCTTCCAATCTTTAGGCTACGCTATGGTTTGTTTTAAAAAGGGATTGAATGTCTTACAAACAGGTAAAATTGCTGCCAGATGCAAGTACATTAGCCTTCTCCAGCTGGTTTACTGCTGCCATTCAAAATAGCTTGCTATAAATATGATTCCTTTGAGCTCTATTCTGACAAGTGTGGAGCACTATCTGGGAAGGGCCAGTGGTTTCCCATCCCCATTGAACTCAGTAGGAGTTGTGATTGCTCAGCACATTGCTGAAAAGAGTCTGCTGAAATTACCTTAAATCACACAATTATCCCCTCACCTCTTGCTCTTTCTTTTGCAGTCGTGGAAGGAGGAATAAGTTTCTCCACAGGCAGTTGTGCTACTTAAAATTTTCAGCCTAGAGATTATGAACAAATGTCAAAATCAACAAGTTCCCTGCTTCAGGGCTGGTGATGGTCCTGGCTGCAATCTGCCTTAGCCGGGGGAAGGAGGGAAAACCATGACAAAGATTTGAAACCCTACTTACACTAAAATTCAGAATCAACTTCTCATATTGCCTAAAATGCCTTCGCCTCTTCCCTTTGCCCTTTTCTATAAATTTCTGCCCATTGCCTAATGGCCATTGACCTAAACAATAAAGGTTCACACCTCCATGGCATCCAGGACACACTGTGGCACTTTTTTTAAGGGCAATAGTGTGTGTTGTAGTGCCCCCACTAAAACTCAAAGTCACTTTTCCTATTGCAGAGGAACTGGTGTTGAGAAGAGGCTTGTACTTGATTCCGCACCTTGTGGTACCAGTTTGAAGTCAGTACTGGTTCCCTGAACTGGAAATTAGACCGTTAACTACTAGGGGAGGTTTTCTTCTTAATAGCAACAACTCCAGTGTCCTTTGCAGAAAGTTCAGTAAGAAATACCCCTGAAACCCAAATCTGGATCTGAATTTGGCTCAATTATAGCTGAAGCTGGGAGCTCATGCCCCTCTGGAATACACCTGCTCTGCGTGATTTTTGAACAGCCCTCTCTGACCTCAGTCTTTGTGCTTACCAGCTCTCAAAAATCAGGCTACACCCTGCAACTACATAAAATACAAGACAACCAGTCACAGGGTTTGGGTCATTTTACTTTTGATGAAAAGCCCGGTTTTCCCTTCTTCTTGTTGATATAACAAAACAGTACACTGGCATTACTTTACATAAACATCCATTATCAAGAGTTATCAAGAATATTTAAGGGGTTTTGAAGTTCTACCCAGGAAAGAGAAAGTAATTACAGTGAGTCTGATATTCTATGTACTAAATATTGAAGACTTTTCTCTCATAATGGTGCCTACAACATGCCAATGGAGAAAGCATTTGCACACTTCTTTGGCTTTAGCAGTGTTTGAGTGTTCTTAATTTTTCTACATTTTCTCCTAGGACTCTTTCTTTGCTCAAGGTGTGGCTTGAGGAAGCGACATTGATTTCCAAAAGAGCACAAAAGTATGGATGGCAGGTATGAACTCGCTCAGCGAATGCTTTGTAAAAGGAAGCCAGTTGTAGTATTAGAGAGGCTGGATTATATTCCCAAAGCAAAGAAGCCAGCTGTACCATTAAACAGGTCGAATTTTCCTGAAATAAAGCAGCCAATTGTACTATTACACAGGATGAAGAATATTCCCGAAGCAATCCAAAAGGTCAAAAACCACCCTGGGGATGGAGAAGCAAAAAATACAGAGGAGCAAATGAAAATGGCAAAGAAAAAGAAGGAAAAAAAAAGTAAATGTGTAGACAGAGCAAGCTCGAAACAGAAATCAGAAAACAATGAAAAACTAGCTGTAAAAACAGAAGAAACAAAATTAGAGACTGACAATCGGTTAAACCGGACAGCTCTGTATGATAGTCCTCTGGACAGAATAATGGACATAGAAATGGAGTTGGTCTACATTGACGAGGAGGACATTCCCTTCGAGTTTCCTGCACCCGTGGTGTCTTCAAGCACAGAATCGTCAGGTTGTGATTCTGGAGAAGTAGCTGTGCCGAGCACATCTCGTGGCAGCTCTTGGACTCGCGTTAACAAATCGCTTCAACAGGTCCTCCAGGAAGCCAGCACTTGCTACCGGCAGAGCGACTATGCCGGAGCAGTGGAGAAGTTCTCAGCAGCACTGGAGGTATGGAGTTAAAGAAGTGCAATCATATAGCAAAGTAAATGAAAGGCTGCGTTACTGGGTGTAATACTATCAGAAGTGAACAAGGGGCACAAACTTGGGTTATGTATGATTTAATAAAATCCCTGACATGCAATTTTACACAAAATTTGAAAATTAAGGGCTATAAGTAAGTCATAGAAGGAGGGAGCACTAGACTGAACCAAAGAAACCTCAAGTGATTTTGTACTTTTCTCTAATTCGTAAACTGTATTTATCTATAGAGGAAATTTAAGTTCCATAGAGTGGAAAAAAAATACTTCTCTTTTTAATCCCAACTCTATCAGAGACGAATGATATCTCAATAATCAGGAGAGCTCCCACTCTACCACAGCTCTCCATGCACAAAACTGAAACAGTTTAGTATCTTTTTTTCCCTATAGCATTTCCATCATGCATTCTGTTACCCTTATTTCCCCAAAGCCAGAAGATGGCCACTGTGTAGATGAACCTGTGTAGAAATCTCTTTCTTTCTTTGGGAGAAAGGAAAGGTCCAGTAGTGAGCAACCCTCTCTGGATGCAGATGACTTTCTCTTCAGCAGCTAAGAGTCCAAAAGCTATTGGGTTTTTTTGTGGAAAGAAAGACTTCTTGCCTGGGATACTAAAGAAATAATATGACCTCGGCTATGATCTTTGAAACTAATCTGTGATTTTCATTAGTTTCTGCCTTTAAGTGCTCAAACTTGAGTTGGCTCAAACTTGAGTTGTCTTAAATGTATCTTTTCTTCAATAAGTAGACATTTCTATGTTTTTAAAAACAACCCTTTCCAGTTTCAGGCTGAGCCTCCCTCAAAAGGGGGTGTCTAAAGACCTTGGATGTTTTTGAAAATCTTAGCGAGCCTTGAGTTTTATCAGTATAATATAAGATGAAAAGAGTGAAAAAGGGAGTTCCTAACACTCTGGTAAGGTTGCAATTAATTTCACAGTGGGAGAGAAAAGAAAGGTGTAGGAAATCCCAGCAGGCAGGTCACAGTTGCATCCACCAGCCTCCTGGTTCCTGGAAACCAGAGCCAGCAGCATTTACAGTAAAACTGATTGTTCAAAGTTGTATCATTATTCCCAGATTTCTCTAGTGCTGCTAATCTCAGTTAATTATATTGGAAATCCCTTGTATTATGACCATGTAATTCATAATGTGCCAGTAGAAGTCATGGTTCATAATAATCACATAATGGGCAAAGACTTAGACGTAATCAGATTTTAGTTACCCTGTCGCTTTTCCATAATGCTGCTATAAACCCGACATAATCACAAAAAAGCACCAGTTGTTTAAACATTTTTTATCAGATTGATGTACGCTATCTTTCTCTTTTTTAAACAATGTGAGATAACAAAAATTGGATTACAATTGCTGGGAACAGACTATGATAAACTATTTGCTTGTGTGCAGAAGGAAGTTTAATAATGGCATCAGCCTCTCAAATTTTAGAAGTGTTAAACCTGTTAAATAGTGTCACTCTACACCCAAAGCTGCTTTCAGAGAGGTAGCATTAGAGTATTTTGGAAAGCATAGCTGTCTTACAAACTTTGAAAGATGCCTTATATCTTCACAATTAACCCAGCTGCTAACATTTACTGTGCAGATGATGGCTTGACTTTTTCCATGATGCAAAAAAACCCTACTCCTAGTAGCTGTGAAGATTTGAAAGGCCAGTGTCTGCTTCTCAAATAAAATTAAAAAAGAAAAAAAAGAGAGAGACACTTTACAGGAATATGGTTGGTGATTCAAACGAAAGACTTGCAAGCTGAGCTCTCCCTAATGTTTTATCTCCACTCTGACCTCAATCACTTCAGCTATGCACTTGACATCCTGAAAAAGGATCCAGTTATACTCGTTTCAGTGCTGTACTACCAAACTTCATTCAAAAGCAGTTGTAAAACATTAAGAGGTTTACAGTCAACAAGCAAATATCATCTTTCCTATTTTTTTAGAATACTGAAGGCATTTTATTTTAGGACAATAAATATTATAGCAGTGAGTGAGTAAACTATCTTTTTTAGGGTTTTTTTTTTATTCCCCCTACATTCAGACATGAACTTTGATGGGGACAAAAGCACTTGAGAAGAAAGGGGTACTTGCCTCCTCCTAAAACAAAATGGAAAAGCTAGCTAATAGACATTCTGGTGAAAGAATAAGTAGAGATTAAAGAATTGCTTCCTGGGATTGTAGACAGAGTGATTGGGAAATCACAGAATTGTAGGGCTGAGGCTTCTCCTCAGTCTCTTAATCCAGCTCTCCTCAGAAGCAAAAACCAGAATAAAGTAAAAACCAGAATATCCCCAAAAGATATTTCAGTACTCTCTTTCTAAAAATCTCCAGTAAGAGGGACTTCTCATCTGTATGAGCAAGCCGATGGAAAGTTTTCCCACATTTTCCATGCTGCAAAATAGCCCATAACTCTTTTTTTGTATCCTTATTTGACATGAAGAGCTATTAACTACCCTATCCTCTCTTCACCTGCGACCTCTTACCATATTTCTTTTCAGTCTTCTCTAAACGAAATAAATTCAGTCCTCTTAGTACTTCCTCCCAGGTCATGTTTTCTAAACCTCAGTATCACTTTTGCTGTTTTTCTTTGTGTCATCTCTAGTTTGTCCATTTGTTCAGATGTAGGCAAATTGGAGATGGTGCAGAGAAAATCAGGAAACTTATGCTGCTGAGATTGCAACTGTAGTTGTTTTGCCCACCCCTTTTTGAAGAAATAAACAAAAACTCATCTGCATTTCACGTGGGTGAAGAGACATGTCCCATGTGACAAGCTCAAAGGTCAGGAAATTCAAAGTTATGGTTTCTAGTGCAAAATGTTTACAGACGCTTTTCAGATTTAAGGAAATTAAGGCTTTAGACTGACATTAGAACATTTTGAGTTAAGACATCCTGATCTAGAAAAGCACATGGGTAGAGTTAACTTTGAATAGTATCACTAAAGTTAGTGCTGCCTTACATATTGCAAATATCATAGATTTCTTGGCTTTTCTTTAAGCCAAAATGTCTTTATAGATCTATCTATATCTTCATGCCATATTATCATTCTTTAGATCATGTTGTTTTTCAGATATGCAACTAAAAGGCAGTTCTGAAAGTTTAGCATTGAAATTATTGAATTGGGAAAAAAGATTAAAAAAAGAAACGCTGTTATTCAGAAAGGAAAATTGAAATGTTATTTAATTTAGAGACTTTCATATGTTAGACAGCACGCTGCTGCTTACCGCAGACTTCGGGAAGGCAGTGTTATCAGGAGAAGAACTGGAGGCTTCTCACTAATTCTGCACTATTTATCTACCATTAAATTAATCAGGAGGGACTTAGCATTAGCCAGCTGCATTATAGTTGGCTTGGGAGAGGCAAAAATAATGCTGTGTTGGAGAATTCTCACCATTAGAGCTTAAGAATTAAGTGCTTTCTGACGCTAGTGAGGAAAAGAGCTGAAGAAACTCGAGCAATAGTCTTTGCTCTTCTACCTCTTAGCTCAATAATACAGTATATTATATATACTACATTGAGAAACACTGTAAATTTCCCTAAATTTTTTGGCATGCATCTGTTGGAACATAGGGAAATAGGATTTGAACATCTGGACTGGGATACAAAGGGTACGAGAAATCACTCTTTAGTTTAAAAGCTCAGTGGAAACCATATAAGTATCTCTATAAAATCTCCAGCCAATTATTAACAGCTTAGCTACAAAATAACACTAAACCTTTATGAGGATCGAAAGATCTTGTCTCAAACTAATCTCCTAATATCGGAGAGCATAAAAGACTGGAGAAACATCAGCCTGTTTAAAACTGACACAAATTTGAATTTCATCAGGCCCTGTTGTTCTCAAAATAATCCTCCCCTGTGATTAAAAAATAAATGAGAAAGGTTCATGACTGCTGTGCACAGAAAGGAGCCCACAGTATCTCGGCGCACAGCTTTCGGCGTAGACTATCCGAGAGACACAAAATGCATCCCATGCGTGGGGGGAAGGCCTCCAACAGCGCGTGATTAATTCACCAGAGTGCTCTTGTGGTGCCTTCCACGAGCTGGAATATCTCCATTTTCCACAGATGGTTATTATGGGCACCGTTCCTATGGCAGGGAGATAAACATTAGTGCCATCTTTTTTGCACACCTTGAGTTTTCCCTATTAACCTTTCCTGTGGCTCATTGCCTTGTGATTCCCTGCTTGCAGAGGAGGCTTTTGTCGAGACCACATGCCCTCTTCCAGGCAAGAATATCTGCAAAAAGCTAATATGTTGAAAGTGGCCGTGGCACCAGTGCTTCGGGGACATAATTACGTACCAATATAGACTTAGGCAGCGTGGTTCAACCAAGCCTTCCATCAATTCCATTATATGAGAAGCAAAAAAAAAAGAGTATTTCCTATATAAATACCTATGTGAAAAGAGGTTCATCTTAAGTAGTCTGGCCACTGTTAAAGCCTCTTAAGAAAGCACAGGTGACTTTCTCAGAGGCATTGCTGCTAGGGCAGTCTTGGGAGCACCGTAGGATTAAAATGTTTGGATGTGCTCCTGTTGTCACCCTGGGATCAGAGCTAGCTGCTGCAGAAAGACTAGGGCACTGACACATTTCTCCCCACCCTTCCCCCACCAACATCGTCTCTTTTTGCAAGTGGGTCTTGAGGTCCAAAAATCCATCTGTTACAACAATGTGTAATCTCTCACTTTACCAAGCATGGAGGCTGGAATTCCTGGTCATCCACTGGAATTAAAGGGATCTTTATAGAGTTTTCCCTATCCCCTCTCACCAAGACCTCTACAAGGCCTAGACACATTTTAACACCGTGAGAGTCCTCAAGGGAGACCATGAGAAAGGCTAAATATTTATTTTTAGCACTAACTTTCTGGAGCTAAAAATTAGACTCCTAAATTATCTATCCTTGTCATCAACACAAGTCCTCCAGAAGCTTCCAGGGAGGACACTAGGTCTTGGACAGACAACATCAAATAGGACAGTC